TTTGCCACCACAAAGAAAAGTTGCTATAAATATTTTAGAACATATAAGTTATTTTCCTTTTCCCCTAATCACCTTGGGAAACAGTCCTAATAGTAGTATTGCCAGGAACTTAGACATAATTCCAGATTCCTCTCCAAAATGGTTGCATCAGGTCACAGTTCCACCAACAGTAAATTAGTGTCATTTTCCACATCCCCTCCAATATGCCATTTTCTCCTTTTATTGTTTTAGCCAATCTAATAAGTGTAAGATGATATTTTAATTTGAATTTTATTTTAATTTGCATTTCTCTACTCAATAGTCATTTATAGAATTTTTTCATATGACCATATAGATGGTTTTGATTTTTTTCATTGTGAAACTGCCTGTTCATATCCTTTGACCATTCATCAACTGGGGAACGAGTCATATTCTTATACATTTGACAAAGTTCTTTATATATTTGAAAAATGAGACCTTTATCTAAGAACATGTCTATAAAAATTTCCCCCAATTTTTTACTTTTCTTCTAATCTTGGCTACATTGATTTTATTTGTACAAAAGCTTTTTAATTTAACGTAATTGAAATTATCCATTTTACACCTCACAATGCTCTCTATCTCTTGTTTTATTCACAAATTATTCTCCTATCCATAAGTCTGATTAGTAATATGTTCCATGTTCTTCTAATTTTCTTGTGACATCTCCCTTTATATCTAGGTCATGTATCCATTTTGACCTTATCTTGGCAAATGGCATAAGATATTGGTCTGTGCCCAATTTCTGCCAGACTGCTTTCTAGTTTTCCCAACAATTTTTACCAAATAATGAATTCTTATCCTCAAAACTTAAAGTCTTCACTGGTTAAACACAAGGTTACTATAGTCATTTGCTGCTGTGATATTGTATAGCTACTCTGTTCCACTGACCTACCTTTCTATTTCTTAGCCAATACCAGATAGTTTTGATAATTACTGCCTTATAATGTAGTTTAAGATCTGGTACTGCTAAACCTCCATCCTTTACATTTTTTATTAATTCCTTTGAAATTCTTTTGTTTTTTTAAATGAATTTTATTATTATTTTTCTAACTCAGTAAAATAATTTTTGGTAATTTAATTGTGATGGCATTGAATAAATAGATTAGTTTAATTAGAACTGTAATTTTTATTATATTGACTCTGCCAATGAACAATTACTATTTCTCCAATTATTTAAATCTGATTTTATTTGTATAAAAAGTGTTTTATAATTATGTTCCTGAAGTTCCTGGGTTTGTTTTGGTGATTATACTCCCAGGTTTTTCATACAATCTCTAGTTATTTTAAATGGGCTATCTCTTTCTATCTCTTCTCTCAGTGTTTTGTTGGTGATATTTAGAAATGCTCGTAATTGATGTATGTTTATTTTATATCCTGCAACTTTGCTAAAATTATTAATTGTTTCAACTAACATTTTAGTTGAATCTTTAGGATTTTCCAAGCATATCATTATATTGCTTGCAAAAAGAGATAGTTTTATTACCTCATTGCCCATTCTAATTCCTTTTTCTTCTTTTATTGCTAATGCTAGCATTTCTACATAAATATTGAATAATATTAATGGTGATGGGCATCCTTTTTTTTACTCCTGATTGTATTGAGAAGTCTTCTTGCTTATCCCCACTACAAACAATGCTTCCTGATGGTTTTAGGTAGATACTTCTTATCATTTTAAGAAAATACACATTTATACCCGCTTTCAAGTGTCTTTAATAGGAATGACTGTTATTTTTTATCAAAAGCTTTTCCTACATTAATTGAAGCAATCATATGATTTTTGTTGATTTTGTTATTGATGTAATCAATTATATTAACAGTTTTCCTTATGTTAAACCATTCCTGCATTCCTGGTATAAATCTCACTTGGTCAGAATGTATAATCTTTGTAATATATTGTTTTAGTCTCCTACCTAGTATTTTATTTAGGATTTTTGCATACATATTCCTTAATGAAATTGGCCTATAATTTTCTTTCTTTATTATTACTATTAAGAGTTATCAGTCTCCAGAATGTTAACATTGCTCTTACAGTATCTTTTCAGCACCATAGTCAGGGGTACAGAAAGGAACAGAAAACTATGAGCTCAATCAATACTAGAGCAAAAGTTGCTTGCAGTTGAGTTGTGCTGTTTGCCATTGGGGGTATATGGGGAATGGCATGTAGTATAAGAAGGTTATTATGCCTGTAGGCAGTTTGGAGGTGAGCCTCTTCGGCTTGAGAAAGGTGCCATTTCATTGTCTGGGTTTCCCCAAGCAAAATTTCTCTGTTGGTATACAGCCATGCTTCTTAGGTCTCTTCCCCAGTGTAGCAGAAAAGCAGCCAGGGAAAAAAATTGTGTGTGTGTGTGTGTGTGTGTGTGTGTGTGTGTGTGTGTTTATATGTCACATCTCCAAAGGTTTGGTGTCTTATAGACACTTTTTGCATCAGCTTCAAAGGGTCAGGGTCAGAAGGGTCTGAGAATGAGATGAGACCTTTTCAGAGGAAGCTTTGTCTGTGTATCTGACTTGATGCTTTTTCTGAGACTCTTTCATCATTCTAAGTATTTTGAGAGCCCAGACATATTATAAAATATAAAGTATACTCTTACACCCAGATAAGGACAAAGATGTTATCTCAAGCCAAATAAACTTTCAGTTGCCTATGATTTAATTTACAGACTGAGAAAGGAGGATCCTGAGTGACCAGAAAAGGTGTGTGAGGTTGACTTGGAAAGTTGTGTGAATAGAGCAGTAGCAAGAGTCTTGGATTTTAAAACAAAGGGCCTGAGTTCAAATCCTGGCCTTACTACTGGTGGGATTTTCAACAGGCCAGTTAACCTCTCTAGACCTTAGTTTCTCCACCTAAAAATGAGGAGTGGGACTACTTAGTTTCTCAGATCCTTTCTAACTTTATATTTTAGGATTCTAAGGTTTTCAAACAGAGGAGTGACTTGAACAACTGTATGCATACTTTAATTCTTGGATATGTAGCAGGGCTCTACCCCACATGGCATGTGGGGATCATTATGTAGCCCCAAGGAAGGCATAATAATCATCTTTTGCCTCTTTTCCCCAACTCTTATTGAAGAAAGATTTTATTTCCTGCCAAGAAGGGAAGCAGGAGGGAGAGGAAAGAAGTTGGCCACTCTGCTCAACTCAGGGTGGGGAGGAGTATCACTGCTAATGGTTAATTAAATGTAAAAAAAAATTTAACATTCATTTTTTTAAATTTTGAGTTCCAAATTTCCTCTTCTCTTCCTTTCTCTTTCCCCTCCTTGAGAATATAAGCAATTTGGTATAATTGTACCCGTGCAGTGATGCAAAACATTTCCATGTTAGTCATGTTGCAAAAGAAAACAAATGAACAAAAAAACCCAACAAGACAAAGAAAGTTTAAAGAGTATGCTTCAATCTGCATTATGACTCCATCAGTTCTTTCACTGGAGGTGGATAGCATTTTTCATCATAAGTACTTTGGAATTGTCTTGGATCATTGTATTGCTGAGAATAGCTAAGTCATTCACATTTGATAGTCATACAATATTGCTATTACTGTGTACAGTGTTCTGGTTCTGCTCTCTTCACTTTGCATCAGTTCATGTGAGTCTTTCCAGGTTTTTCTAAAAACATTCTGTTCATCATTTCTTGCAGCAAATAGTATTCCATCAGAATCATATACCACAACTTGTTCAGCCTTTCCCCAATTGATTGGCATCCCCTCAATTTCAATTCTTTGCCACCACAAAAAAAGCTGCTGTAAATATTTTTGTACACATAGATCCTTGTTCTTTTCCTTTTCCTTATATCACTTTGAGATACAGACCTAGTAGTGATATTGCTGGGTCAAAGGGTATGCACCGTTTTGTAGTTCTGTAGGTATAGCTCCAAATTGCTCTCCAGAATGGTTGGATCAGTTCATAATTCCGTCAGTGGTGCTCTAGTGTCCCAATTTTCCCATATCTCCTCCAACATTTGTCATTTTCCTTTTCTGTTATATTAGCCAATATGATAAATATGAGGTGATATCTCAGAGTTGTTTAAATTTTCATTTCTCTAATCAATGGTGATTTAGAGCATTTTTTCATATGATTATAGATATTCTTGATTTCTTTATCTAAAAACTGCCTGTTCATATCCTTTGACCATTTATGAATTGGGGAATAATTTGTATTCTTATAAATTTGACTCTGTTATTCAATGATCTTAGAAAAACATGGATAGACTTGCATAAAATATTTCATAGGGAACCACTTCCTACTTCCTTATTGCCAATAGACATACCAATAGCTCACTAACCCTACCCCACCCTACCCATTCCACCTCCTCTCCCACCCCCACCCTGCATCCAAATTCAAAGTCCTTTTGAGCCTCACCCAAAGCCCCATACTCTTTTCCTCTGTAATAACCACAGGGAATTCAGAAACTTAGCATTTAAGCATAATACAGAATTTTACATTTAATACAGGACCTTATCATCACAGCTCCAGATGCTCGTATTACTGCTTTCGAGGGCACTAAGATCCAGTACAGTAGCTCTTTTGATCTCAGTGCACAAGTTGGGATGCAGTAGTCTCCAAAATTGTCCTAGCAATCCATGCTCTTTCAAATCAAACTTCTCTCATACAGCAGCTGGGGCACCAAGCTTCACAGTGATACTCTCTCTTTCTTTCCCATACAAAGCCATTTTTTTCTTCCATTCTACACCAAAATCTCTAGTGCTTAAGGGATGGGGGAGGGAGGAGTCTTGGAAGATGAGTAGGATTTTTATATTCATTGAAATAGTGAGGCCATCCCAGATTGAAGGGGAATGGATTGAGCAAAGGTATGGGAAATATAGGGTATATTCAAAGAATGAGAAGTCCTATGTGCAATCAGAAAAGTGCTTGGTCCCGAGCATCCTTCAGTACCATCCCTGTCTAACTATAAGTGGAACCAGGAACTGTCTGAAGAGCCCATAGTGCCTGTTCTGATGTCTCTGTCTCCTTCTCTGTGTTTTCAAGGCCTGAAGTTTGATGGAACAGAAGCACCATCATACAAGGTCAGTATCATTATCCCTCCTCACCTCCTATAGCACCAAACCCTTTTATCTCTTTGTTCCTTGCCCTCTTCCAGTGTTCCCTCTTATCATCTTCTCACCAGCCTCAGTACTAAAGAAAGCCAAATTCCAGGTTGACTATTCGGATATGAACCAAGTGGCTTTGAGGATTCAGAAAGCATTATATATCTCGATTTCCAGTGAGTGTGGGATGGGGTACAGCAACTTCCAGCTTCCAAGCTACTTCATCCATCCATAACCTGCAAGTCCCACTGAAAGAACATTTTGGGTATTTGCCCATCTCTTTGGAAGGAGTTTGTCCAACAATCAAATTTAGTGTCTGTTTGCCTCACCCCCTCAGGTCACCCTGAAGGCCTTATTAGGGACCCTGAACACTCTTGCTGACACTCCAGACAATGAGGTGCTGGGTAGAGGACAGAAGCAGCTGACCATATTGACCCCTTCCCAAAATCGCTTGAATTTCATCCTGCAGCATGTGACATACACCAGCACTATCTACCAGTCAGGAGCTGTGGACATTGGTGAGAGCCCATCACTTGATCGCAGAACCCTTTGGGAGACAAAAGACACCATTTAGGGCTCTCTCAGACACTGTCTTCTTGAAGAAATATGTATCAATTTAAGTAGGTAGAGAGAGGAGATAGTTTTTCTTCTGCTTGTGTGTCACACTGTACCTGTATTGCAGGTGGCTCTTTCCACTTCATATTGTCCACAAGGTGCAGTACTTACAGGTCAAACTGTAGAGAGAAAGAATTATGATATCTGTGAAGATCTGCCAAAGGGGGAGGGGAGCATTCTTACATCTTCCTGTTTGGTCCCTAGTATATTACAGTGTTCACTAATTTTTGAACCAGCCCTGTGATTGCATTGGCATAGGGAATGCCTGGTAAGAACGCTTCCATTCTATGACATGGTTTTTGAGAGATACCTGAAGAATTAAGAGGTTAAGTGACTTCCCCAAGGTCACAAGTCAAAAAGGAACAGAAACAAGATTTAAACCCAGATGTTCTTATTCCTGAGGCTGGCTCACTATCCATGGTACCACAATGCTTATCAGACTCACTAATCCTGAATTTCCATGGTTTCTTTCCATAGAATACACAGACTTCTTTGACCTTAGCTATAATTTTGAAGAGAGAGAGAGAGAGAGAGAGAAGGCATGGAATTGGTCTATACCTTTTATTGAGCACAGCCTTATGCTGAAAAAGAGTCCCTTATCTCCAGGTGGTCCCAGTCTGACATGGCCCAGATAGAAAAACAGATATACATAGAACGAGGCACAAGGGTAGATTGTAGGCATGAGTAAGAAAGAGATGATTCTGCCATGATCTGTAGCACAGACCTATAGCAGTTAAGCTATCCTCTCAAGGTCATAAGACATATTAAGGACAAAGAGAAGCTAGAAGTCCTGAATCCCAGACGTGGGCTCACTCTTCATACCTTCTATTCCCTTACCAATCAGACTTCCCTGAACAACAGTAGAAGGATCCTTCTCCCCAAGACCAACGAAAGGGACCTTACACTGATTCTCTCTTTCTCCTTTCAGTGAGTATTGAATTTGGGAGCTCAGTGGCTAAGTTTCCTGTGAATATCAACCAGCCCACCATCCCCAAGTTGTTTGACCCTGGGCCAGGTGAGTCCTTTGTCTATTTGACTCCATGGAGATAGTAGAGTAGCACCCCAGAAACAGCTTGAAAATATTCTAGTTCATGTGGTTTAAATATCTAAACTCATTTGCAGGCTGCTGTTTATCTTCAGTTTTATGATTCCATTTATGATTTTTTTTATTGATCTATTAATCTCCAGTCTGCTAGATGGTGGAAGTTACAAAAGCAAAAGAGGAAATAATCCCTGCCTTCAAGGAGCTTACATTCAACATGTAACATGAATATATCATGGGGAGTAAGGGAACATGGGAGACCTCACAAAGCGCTCTAGGTCTGTTTGAAGAAAGAAATAACATTAACATCTAGAACAATCAGGGGAGGCCTCTAGGATGAGGTGTCACTTGCCTGAATTTTAAAGAATGATAAGGAAGGAATATGAAGGATGGAAGTTGGGAAAGATTGCATTCCAAGTATAGGGACTGGCTTGTGCAAATGCTTGGGAGTAAAAGTGGCATGTTACATGCAGGGAACAGCTAGTAGTCCATCTCAGCTAGAACACAGAGTACATGAAGGGGAAAGAATATAGAAAAAGGGGCTCAGGGAAGAGCCTTGAAGGACACCCAAGCTTGGGGGGGAAGGAGATGGATGGTTTAGTAGATAGAGTACTGTAGGTGGGGTCAAGAAGACCAGAGCTCAAAACCTGCCTCAGACAATTGCTAGCTGTTTGACTTTGGACAAGTCACTTAATCTCTCTGTGCCCTGTTTCCTTATCTGTGAAAATAATAGAACACACCTCCCACAGTTGTAATGGAGATCAAATGAGTTAGCATGTGTAAAATGCTTATTATTGTTTTTGTTGTTGTTATTCAGCAAAGGAGAATGAGGAATGGTCAGAAAGGCAAGAGGACAAGCAGCAGAGAGCAGTCACAAAAGCCAAGTGAAGAGATTGTTTCTATGAGATAGGGGCAGTCAGATGGAGGAGCATGAGAACCAAAATAGGCCATCAGGAATTAAAAAGTTATAGGCTTCTCCAAACAGATAAATGGTCAAAGGAGAGAACAAGCATTTCTCAAAAGACTTGTATATTATTAATAATCATGTAAGAGAATGCTCCCAATTTACTAATAATGAGGAATTCACATTAAAACAACTTTCATATTTCACCTCAAAAGAGCAAATTGGTATAGATGACAAAAGATAAGAATAGTCAATGTTGGAGGGGTTGTGGAAAGATAGGCACTCTAGTGCATTATTGGAGGAACTGTATTTTGGTACAGCCATTCTGGAAACCAATCTGGAATGATGCAAAAAAAAAGTGACTTAAAATGTCCATATCCTTTGATTCCAAGATTTCACTGTTAGACATATACCCCAAGGAGGTCAATGACAAAAAGAAAGGACCCACATATATGGTACCAAAGAACTGGAAAGCAAATGGCCATCAATTGGGGAGTGGCTAAATAAACTATATATAATACATTCATGTAATGAAATATTACTATGCTGTAAGACATAATGAATGTAATTAATACAGATATACAGAAAGACATATGAACTGATGGAAAGTGAATTAAGTAGATCCAGGAGAACAATATACACAATGACTACAATATTGTAAATAGAATGAATGATAACAAAGACAATCAACACTGAAAACTGCAGAATTATAATAATCAAACTTGGCCCCAAAGAAGAGATATGAGAAGGCAACTTCTTCCCTTACTTCTTTGTAGAAATGGGGAACCATGAATGGTGGGATACTGCATAAAATGTCAGATTTTTTTTCATACATTGCTTAGTTTTGCAACTTTTTAGGGATTTGGTCACCCAGCTAGTCAGTGTCTGGGGCCAGATTTGTGCTCAGGTCTTCCTGACTCTAGGCTCAGCACTCTCTCCACTGTACCACTTAGCTGGCCCATTCTTCCTTTAGCTACACTTCATTATAAAGGATGACAGGGCACTGAGGGGAAGACAAAGAGACCACCAACAAGTCTTTATGAAGCTCCTACTATGTACTAGGTACTGTGCTAGGCACTGAGCTCCAAGAGCTAATATTCTAATGGGGAATTTTAAAAAGGTTTCCTGTGTAAGTCACACTTGACCTGAACTTTGAAGGAAGCTAGTGATTCTAAAAAGCTTAAGTGAGGGGGGAAGCCATTCCAGGCATGAGAGACAACCAATACAAAGGCATGGAGATGGGAGATAGATATTGTGTAAGGGCAAATCCAATGGTCTTTCAACTATACCATCATAGCCGGATGGGGGTTATTGAAGAGATGTGCAGCAGAGGAATAAGAAAAGACATTGAATTCTCTATCTTTTTCCTTCTCCAGAGAGGAAGCTCAGGAACCTGGTGACCATTGCTACTAAGACTTTCCTTCGTCCCCACAAACTCCAGATTTTACTTAAGAGTATTCGGGAGTATTACCCAGATGTGACTGTGATTGTGGCTGATGACAGTGAGAAGCCAGAAAAGATTGATGATATTTATGTGGAGCATTACATCATGCCCTTTGGAAAGGTACAGATCCAAGGCACCAGACCCTTGGATCCCCAAATCCCATCATGGATAGAGCTGCCTTTATGAGGAAGTAGAAGGTTAAGGATATAGAGATAGGGGGAGCTGAAGACTGTTTCTCACCCTGAGTCCTGGTCCTTTTCTTTCTCTGCCCACCCTTCATAGTCTGAGTAAAAGGTCACTCTCAAATCTGCACTAATGATGTGGCTAATCTCCTCTTGGTCTATAGAATTCATTTTGGTCCAGGTGTTTGACTAAAGGTATCTAATGTTTTGTGGATTCACAGCCTGTTTAATCCAAGTCTAGAGAGATGCTGGGAAGACCTGTGTCAGGGGAGCAAGATGGAAACCTGACTAATTTCCATTGCTTGCCTCTCTATTTCTTTTCCTTCCTGCTGACAATGGATGGCACCATTACTTTCTCGGACATAGCTCCAACCTTAGCAGTTACCCTTTCTCTAAGCTCAAAGACCATCCCATGCCTGCCTGTGGGCTCTGAGAAGAGTTAGAAGGATCTGGGGTGAAAGAACCCTCCCCCAAAGGAACAGAGAATCCGTATATCAGATTATCTACTATACACAATCCTTACAATTTTTTTTAGCTAGACTTTTCTTCTTTTTTATTTCTTAAAATTTTTAAATTTTCCCAATTACATATGAAAATGCTTAACATTCATTAAAAAAATTTTTGAGTTTCAAATTCTCTCCCTCCCCTACCTCTTCATTGAGAAGGCAAGCAATTTGATGTAGGTTATACAGGTGCAGTCACGCAAAACAAATTTCCATATTAGTCATGAAAAAACAGACCAACCCCCCCAAGAAAAATAAAATTTAAAAAAATTTTATTTCACTCTCCATTCATACTCCATCAGTTCTTTCTCTGGGGGTGGATGGTGTTTTTCATCATAAGACCTTCAGAATTGTCTTGGTTCATTGTATTGCTTAGAATAGCTAAGTCATTCACAGTTGATCTTCATGCAATATTGCTGTTACTGTGTACAACATTCTCCTGGTTCTGTTCACTTCACTTTGTATCAGTTCATATGAGTCCAGATTTTTCTGAAAGCATCCTGCTCATTATTTAAAATTTTTTTATTCATTTTAAACTTAAATACAAAAAGAGAAAAGAAAAAAAAGAACAATTCCATATACACAGCAGAACATAAGAGACGATTCAACATAAAATGATAAATTTCTATTTCTCAAAAACCTATGTAATAAATCCTACACATTGTTTTCAAAGCAACCCAGCTCTTCTGTGCTTCCTTCTAGGTTTTCTTTTGTTCTCTGCTGTGTACTTTTTATTCCTCTCCCCACCCCCTCCCGCCACAATTGAATGTAAATATATATATATACACATATCGATATAGGCATATATATATATCTATCTGAACATACACATATCTACATATACATATATGTAAGACTACACTATGCATATTTCTATTTGTCAGTTCTTTCTCTAAAGATGAATAGCAACTTCCTTCGTAGGTCCAAGTCTTTCCATGTTTTTCTAAATCAACCAGATCATCATTTCTCATATCACAACAGTAGTTCATTGCTATCATATCCTATCTAAGATTATCTATGAAAATCCTTTCCCAATTTTCTGCTTCCCTTCTAATCTTGGCTCCATTGGTTTTATTTACATGAGAAGTTTTAAATTAAAATAATTGAAATTATCCATTTTACACTTCAGAAGTTCTCTCACTTTATAATATAGTTTAAGATCTGGTACTGCTGAATCTTCTTTACATTTTTTCTCTTAGCTTCTTTGAAATTCTTGACCTCTTCTTCTTCCAAATGAATTTTGTTATTATTTATTCTGACTCAGTAAAATAATTTTTAGCAATTTAATTGGGTAAATAGGTTGAGTAAATAGGTTAAATAAAGCTGTCATTTTTATTATATTGGCTTTACTTACCTATTAACAATGACTATTTCTCCAGTTATTTAAATCTGACTTTATTTGTTTAAAGAGTATTCTATATTTATGTTCATGTAGCTAACTATAGTTGAGTTGGGCTAGATATCCTCTGATGTTCCCAATTGTTTAACCCCCTCATACTCTGTGGGCTGAGAAAGTAGCTGCTGCTGTTGCTGATTCAGTCACTCCCATCTCTGATCCTATGATTCTTTTTCCAACTCAGCCAAGGTCCAGTACCCGAACTCTGCAGTCATCATCCCCATCTCCAGGCTTTCTTTTAGAACCTGAGCTTGTGACTCATGTGCCCTCTCATTCACAGGGTTGGTTTGCTGGCAGAAATTTGGCTGTGTCTCAGGTCACCACAAAGTATGTGCTGTGGGTGGATGATGACTTTCTTTTCACAAAAACAACCAAGATTGAGGCACTGGTAGATGTCCTAGAGAAAACAGAGCTGGATGTGGTAAGAAATATTTACTATTTCATCCCCCCCCCCCAACTGAAGTGGGGGTGGGGTACACAATGTGGGAGGTGAGTGAATTCAGCTAGCTTTGGCTTGGTGGTGAAAACCCTAGATTGAAGGTGGGGTTAGAAGAACTGGGTGTGAGTTTTGATTTCACCACATACTTATCTTAAGATCTTGAGAAAGAAATTTAACTTTTCTGTGCCTCAGTTGTTCCATCCCTAAAATGGAATGTAGATAAATGCATTATAATTCAACAACCATTTATCAAGTATCTACTATGTGCCAGGTACTGTCCAAGACTCTGGAAATACAAAGACAAAAACAAAATGGTCCCTGGCCTTAAGGAGCTTACATTCTATTTAGAGGAAAATAATATGCAAACATATAAGTAAATAAAAATTATATATGGAGAGATTTTCAAGGAAAGGGACAGGTATAGTATAAAAGACATTTTGTTAAGAATAAAACAGCAATTTCAGAGGGCACGATGGAAGGGTAGAGAAGATAGGGATAGGGGCAGGTAGGTGGCGCAGTGGATAGAGCACTGGCCCTGAAGTCAGGGGTACCTGAGTTCAAATGCAGCCTCAGACCAAACACTTGACACTTACTAGCTGTGTGACCCTAGGCAAGTCACTTAACCCCAATTGCCTAAAAAAAGAGAGAGAGAGAGAGGAGAGAGAGAGAGAGAGAGAGAGAGAGAGAGAGAGAGAGAGAGAGAGAAGATAGGAATAGGGCTAACAAGGATGAAGATGAGGGGGCAAGAAGTATTGATCAGAGTTTCAGCATAGACAATCTAGCCACGAGGAAGTAGATTACCATGACTTTCAGAATAGTGTTGAAAATGTTGATTTGATTGTCAGTTCTTAAGAAAGAGGTGGAAGAGGGTAAGGTTGAGGACAAAGAGTAAATGCACAGCAACAAGGGAGGTGTCCAGTAACCATGGACACGCCTAATGGTTAAGACAGAAGTTGGTGGAGTCTGAAATCAGATTGGCATGGAGGTGTGAGGCATATTTGAGGTACTCACCTAATTCAGGTCAGCTCTGCCCCAGGATTCATTGCAGTGAAGGAGAGGAGGGTTAGAACAGTAGCTGGATGGGGTAGAAAGGTCAAGGGAAAGCTTTAGGAAGACTTAAACATGCAAGATTTGGAAGGAAGTTAAAGGGAATAGCATTATGGGTGCTAGTAGAGGAATCCAAGTTAGTGAGGACACACATCTGTGACTAGAGAAAAAGAAAAAGGGTCACTATGCCCAAAAGTTTTAAGGCAAAAGTTCTTAACCTTTTCTGTTATGGCCACCTTTGAAAGTTTAGCAAAACCTCTGGACTCCTCAGAATAATGGTTTTGGGGGCAGCTAGGTGGTGCAGTGGATAGAGCACCAGCCCTGGAGTCAGGAGGACCTGAGCTCAAATCCAGCCTCAGACACATGACACTTACTAGCTGTGTGATCCTGGGCAAGTCACTTAACCCCATTGCCTACCCAGAAAAAAAAAAAGAAAAGAAAAAAAAGAAAAAGAAAAAGAGTCACTATGCCCAAAAGTTTTAAGGCAAAGGTTCTTAACCTTTTCTGTTATGGCCACCTTTGGAAGTTTAGTGAAACCTCTGGACTCCTCAGAATAATGGTTTTGGGGGCAGCTAGGTGGTACAGTGGATAGAGCACCAGCCCTGGAGTCAGGAAGACCTGAGTTCAAATCCAGATGCAGATACATAACACTCACTAGCTGTATGACTCTGTATGTATGCTTAACCCCAATTGCCTCATATTAAAAAAAAAAAAAAGGAATAATGGTTTTGAATGCATAAAATAAAATAAATAGAATTATAAAGGGAACCAATTATGCTAAAAGAGTCATCAAAGTATTTTTAAAAATAAATTCTAGGTCTTCAGGTAAAGAATATTTGTTCAAAGAAGTGGGCAAGGGGAGGATGCTCAGGGAGGTCACAGAATATGGTTTAATCTTCTAATTGAAATAGCTGTTAAATCATTGCTCTAAATATGTGGAGGGGGGTGGTGGGGAAGAGTGAAGTTAGAGGCAAAAGAAGTGCAAAGGTTTCAGAGCATTTACTGAAGAGAATGGTCAAGGGAATCAATTTGGGGAGCATAGTGTAACATCTGTTTCAATGTTGAAACAGATGTTGCCACAGAAAGATCATAATAGAGGTTTAACAGTGGAGGCAATGGACCATTAGCAATGTTGGCCACTAGGTGGCCATAGGGCACAGAGCACTGGACCTGGAATCAGGAGGATCAGCCTCAGACACCAGCTGAGAGACCCTGGGCAAGTCACTTAACCTCTAGCTGCCTCAGTTTCTTCATATGTAAAATAAGGGTAATGAGAGCACCTAAGTTTCAGGGTGGTTGTAAAGATAAAATGAGATATTTGTAGAACGCTTTGCAAACCTTAAAGCACTACATAAATGCTAGCTATGATGATGATGATATCACTACAGCACCAGGTATACAAGATACCACTCACTACCTTGGACACCTTCTAACACACAATATTATGAAGAGTCCAGGGACCCAAGCACCTCCATAACTTAGACCAGAGTCTTACCTGCCTCATTTCCCGCCTTCTTTTCACATGGTAGTACTCTGGCAAGATTTGTAAAGTCTTATCTCAATTATGTCAGAAAGTTTCCACTGCTTCTTCCTGATTAAATACTCCAGCTCAAGATATACGAAGAAGAGATAAAAATATTGAAGAAGCATACTCCCAATGCAAAGCCATATCATCTCCCTTCCTCAAAAAACAATTCCATTGAATGTCCTTCCCTGCTGTGCTAACACAGGCTCCTGTTGCAGTTCGCTGAGAACACAAATGGATAAAGAAGTGTTATGATAGGATAAAGATACTGAGAAATTACATCTAAACACTGACTTATTTAGGGGGTGCAGCCAAGATGGTGGAGTGAAAGCAGTGACTTGCTTGAGCTCCCCCCAAACCCCTCCAAATACTCATAAAAAAAGGCTCTAAACAAATTCTGAAGCAGCAGAAACCACAAAAAGACAGAGTGAAACAAATTTCCAGCCCAAGACAACCTGGATGATTGATCAGAAAGGTGTATCACACCAGACTGTGCTGTGCTCCCAGCCCGCAGGCTCCCAGCTCCCAGTGGGCTGGGAGCAAAGCGCAGCACTGCGTGGGCACACAGGCCACAGCAAACCTGGAGCAGGCCTCAGAGGACTGAATCTCGGGCAGCTGCGGAGGTTTCCAGACTCCTCAATCCACCAATGCCAAAGACAACTTAGAAGGTCAGTGGGAAAAGTCTGTTTCTGTCGGTACAGAAAAAGGAAGGCGGGGTCTCAACTCTATTCCCCAAGAGCATGGCCCTGGGGGGAGGGGGGCACAGCTGCTTCCCGAGCTTCCAGCCCACAGACTGAGGGGGAATCCAGTGGCTGATCAGAGAGGGACTGCAGAGATCTCTTTGCCAGTGCTGAGGCAGGAATCTCTTGCTTTGCCCATGCTTCAATCTGGCTTACAGTTCTGGGTGGCAGTCCTGGGGTGAGGAGGAATGCTGGCATGGTGGAGCTTGTAGTGGCTGTGGAGAGAAACCCCTCCTCACAGTTACAGGACAGAAAGGATACTTGTGGTCACAGCCAGGAAAGGAGTAAACACCTGCCCCTTATCATACCACCTTGGAAGAACTGAAAATTTACAGGTCCCTACAAGTATCTCTGAAAACAGCTGTACAAACCCCCGAAGCTTGGGACAGTACATTCTCCACATTGGAAGCAGACTCTTACCTTAACAAAGAGTTTAAAACTCAAGTAATTGGCTGGGATCATGAGCAAGCAGCGCAAAAGAGTCAGACTATATTATCTTACTTTGGTGAAAAAGAAGATCAAAATATACAACCAGAAGAAGAAAGCAAAGTCAAAGCTCCTACATCCAAAGCCTCCAAGAAAAATATGAATCAGTCCCAGGCCTTGGAAGAGCTCAAAAGGGATTTTGAGAAGCAAGTAAGGGAAGTAGAGGAAAAACTGGGAAGAGAAATGAGAGTGATGCAAGAAAAATCATGAAAAACAAGTCAACAGCTTGCTAAAGGAGACCCAAAAAAATACTGAAGAAAATAACACCTTAAAAAATAGCCTAACCCAAATGGCAAAAGAGGTCCAAAAAGCCAATGAGGAGAAAATGCCCTAAAAAAAAAATTGGCCAAATGGAAAAGGAAGTCCAAAAGATTACTGAAGAAAATACTTCCTTAAAAATTAGAATAGAGCAATTGGAAGATAGTGACTTTATGAGAAATCAAGACACTGTAAACAAATCCAAAAGAATGAAAAATTAGAAAACAATGTGAAATATCTCATTGGAAAAACAACTGACCTGGAAAATAGATCAGAGAGAGAATTTAAAAATTATTGGACTATCTGAAAGCCATGATCAAAAAAAGAGCCTAGACATCATCTTTCAAGAAATTATCAAGGAAAACTGCCCTGATATTAGAACCAGAGGGCAAAATAGAAATTGAAAGAATCCACAGATCTCCTCCTGAAAGAGATCCCCAAAGGAAAACTCCTAGGAATATTATAGCCAAATTCCAGAGTTCCCAGGTCAAGGAGAAAATATTACAAGCTGCCAGAAGGAAACAATTCAAGTACTGTGGAAACACAATCAGGATAACACAAGATTTAGCAGCTTCTACATTAAAGGACCGCAGGGCATGGAATATAATATTCCAGAGGGCAAAGGAGATAGGATTACAACCAAGAATCACCTACCCAGCAAAACTGAGTATAATCCTTCAGGGGAAAAAATGGTCATTCAGTGAAATAGAGGACTTTCAAGCATTCTTGATGAAAAGACCAGAGCTGAATAGAAAATTTGACTTTCAAATACAGGACTCAAGTGGAACATGAAGAGGTAAACAGGAAAGAGAAATCATAAGAGACTTATTAAGATTGAACTGTTTACATTCCTGCATGGAAAGATGATATTTATAACTCATGAGACCTTTGTCAGTATTAGGGTAGTTGGAGGAAAAAAATTATATGTATGGATAGATAGATAGATAGATAGATAGATAGATAGATAGATAGAGGGCACAGGGTGAGTTGAAGATTAAGGGGTCATATCTGGAGAATAAAATTAAGGGATGAGAGAGGATTATACTCAGAGAAGAAGAAAGGGAGAGGTAGAATGGGGTAAATTATCTCACAAAAAAAAAACAGAAAAGAAAAGTCTCTTACAGTGGAGGGGAAACTGGGGAAGGTGAGAGGGAATGAGTGAATCTTATTCTCATAGGATTTGGCTTAAGGAGGGAATAACATACACATTCAATTGGGTATGGAAATCTGTCTTACCCTACAGGAAAATAGGGGGAGAGGGGGACAAGAGAGCAGGGGGATGATAGAGAGGAGGGCAGATTGGGAAAGGGGGTAATCAGAAGTAAATACTTCTGAGGAGGGACAGGGTCAAAAGAAAGAATAGAATAAATGGGAGGGCAGGATAGGATTAAGAGAAATAGAGTTAGTTTTTCACAACATGTCTAATGTGGAAGTGTTTTGCATAACTGCACATGTACAAGCTATACTGAGTTGCTTGCCTTTTCAATGAGGGTGGGTGAGGAGGGAGGGAAGAGAGAAAATTTGAAACCTAAAGTTTTAAAAACATGTTTAAAATAATGTCTTATTTAGTAATACATGAAGTTGCAGAAACAAATCAGATCCAAGGCTCTCAGTCCACCAAGGACATCAACCATTGGTTTCTGCGAGTTAATTTACAATTTGGAGGGAGTGAAGGACATAGAGATTGAGATACCTGGTTTCTTATCGGTGGAGGGGACAGTGAGATGACAGGGAAATGATTGGTTTTGTGACTTTCCTTAAATCAAGTGACCTTTGGAAGGGGGTTATGACTTCTCCAAAACCAGGTGACTTACAAGCAGCTGAAACTTAGCTTTACAAAATGGTGGATAAAGACAAAATGGAGTCACTAATGCTGTTTTAATGTAACAGAAGGCAGGCCAGCCTGAACAAGACTGACACTGGGGTCAAACTAGCATAGTGTAAGCCAATAAGTCACCAAGCATTTATTAACCTCCTACACATGCTGGCACTGTGCTAAAGCACTAAAAATATAAAGAAAGACAAACAAATAAAAAAACCAGTCCCATGTCTCAAGGAACTCACAGTCTAATGGGGATGACAGCAAGCAATCAGGTCTGTACAAATGAAATCCTTTCAGAACAAATTAGAGGAAATCAACAGAGAGAAGGTACCAGTATTAAGGGACAGCAGGAAAGGCTTCTTGCTACAGATAACAGAGCTTGCTACAGAGCTGGGAGCAATGGAGAGAAGCTACAAAGAGGAAAAGTTAGGCTTGGTATTGGGAGAACCTTTGAATTAGAGCAGTCCAAAGGTAGAATGTAATAAGCTATTTCAAGAGGTGGTAAGTTCTCCATCAATACAAATTTTCAGACTTAGTGACCGCTTCTCAGAGGTGCTATAGAGGTCATTGCTGCTTAGGTGAAGAGTGGAGCAGTTACTGTCTGAGCTCTCCCCAAGCCTTGAGATTCTATCACTCTATGGTTCCTTGGAACTTTGTCCCTGTAGCTTAACCTAGGGGTACTGAGATAGTCCCCAGGGAGTTGAAACTGAAAAGCAATCAGCAATAATCTGGAGGTGGTTGTAGCAACAGAAAAAAAAAAGGTTTTGCTTTTCTAGAGGAAAGATATGGGCTGTAGAAAGGGAGGTGATGCAGTGGGAGGAAGAAAACTGAGAGACCTTGGAGTATAGTGACAGGTGAGTAGGTAGGTAGAATCATATAAGAGGAAGGAAGACAGGGTGGGAGTGGGGAATAATTCAACATGGTAATACCACACAAGAAAGTTTCCCAAGAGAGGCGAACTGGTTATTAAATCAGATGCAGATTTTCTCTGATCTCTTCCCCTACCCCTTCCCAGGTTGGTGGCAGTGTGTCTGGGAATGTATTCCAGTTTAAGCTACTGATGGAACAAGGTGAGGATGGGGACTGCATACACAAGAGGTCAGGCTATTTCCATGCCCTGGATGGCTTCCCCAGCTGTGTGGTGACCAGTGGTGTTATCAATTTCTTCTTGGCTCACACTGAGAGCCTCCAAAGAGTTGGATTTGATCCCCGACTACAGAGAGTGGCACACACAGGTAAGGGGGCTGCATGGGGAGACTGAGGCATAGCCTCAGATTAAACCACATTTAGCAGCTTGTTCACCCTCTTTTATTACAAACACAGGCAGTTTTCAAAAGTATTCCAATTCAAACTAAAGCAGTGTCATGTAGTAGAAAGGGCATCAAAATTGACATCAGGAGGGTATGGATTTAAATCCCACCTCAGACACTAGCAAGGTGACCCTAGGAAAGCCTTTAATCTGTCAGTCCTCAGTTTCTTCATCTGAAATATTGAAGGTGAGGGGATGGGTTGAACATCTATGGTCCCTTCCAACTCTAAATCTATGATCCCATGATTTTTAATTTCCCTCTTCACCCTTTCTCATTCTGAGTCTTGACAATGTTTTCCATCCTGGGACACTCTCTATCCTCCTCTCTGACCAATCCACATCTAGAATACTGTATTTCAAAAAGAACATTTAGAAGTGGAAGTATATCTACCCTGTCCTTCCCTCCGAACCACCCTTCTTTCAGAAAGTCTTCCCAGGTTCACCACATCCAAGTTCACTGCTCATTTCCATCTGGTCTCCATTTTTCCCTTTCCCATTCCTCAGGCGTAATGCATAGTGCTCTGTCCAACAAGAAGTATCTATTCACATCTGTCTCTAGGTCTGTGTTTGTCAGTGGCTTGTGTCCAACTTCCTCCTTCAGAATTGGGAGATTCTTGAGAGAGAAAGAGAGAGAGAGAGAGAGAGAGAGAGAGAGAGAGAGAGAGAGAGAGAGAGAGAGAGAGAGAGAGAAAGAGAGAGAAGGGGAAGAGTGAGGAGGTAGGGGAAGAGAAGGGAAAGAATGAGGAGAGACAGTACTTTCTCTCTAGGAGCTTACACCTCAAAGGTGGGAAGAATAAGTATAGGAGGCTGTGTCTTGCCCTCAGAAGGAGAGATCCCTGAGAACAGAACTGTGTCTCACCCTTCTCATGGAGTATTTCCCAGGGTTCTTCATAGGGCTCTGGTAAAGCAAGTGCTAATATGGATTGAGAACTGACTACAGGGGCCTTTGGCACAAAGCTCACAGCATCCCCTCTCTCTATTTCCCCTCCCTTCACAGAGTTTTTCATCGATGGGCTAGGGAGTCTTCGTGTTGGATCATGCTCAAATGTGGTTGTGAATCACCAGACTCGTGCCCAATCTTCTGACCCAGATAAAGCTACCCTGGAAAAAGCCTACAAGAAGTTCCGAACTAACACTCAGGATCAGGTCAAGTTCAAGTTGTCCCTCCACTACTTCAAGAACCATCTCCAGTGCTACACTCAGAAGTGAGGTTGTGGGTAATGTGGAATGGGCCAATGAGACTCTTCCATGTAACTTACCTCCAATCAATAGAAAAGAGGGTATGGAACAGACCACTCAGTAGTGAAATGGCTCGAGTTGGCAGCTAGAAAAATAGACTAACTGATTAAAAAAAAGAACCATGGAATGGGTGCTTAGGTAGGAAGGACAATTAGGTTAAGATCAATCTTTGGTTAGGGCTGTGAGCCTACCAGTGGTCAAGGTAATATGGAATATAACAACAATAATATTGACACTTACATAGAGTTTTAATATTTATGAAGTTTTTTACTCACAACAATACTGTGAGATATACAATGAAAATATTATCATACCTATCTTATACATGAGAAAGATGAGGATCAGATTTGCTCAAAGCCATAGTTACCTTTCCTTTGAACCACATCAGACTTGTTGATAGAATTATTGACATGTCAGCCATAATGCTAATACTAATAACAATACTTCACAACATAGAGGTTCTAAGAATCCTTTTTTTTTAGAAAATATAGAATAACTGCAACAGAATATTGGCGGACATTAGCTACATGGCCCATATTTGCAACATTCCAGTAACCCAACTATGTTGGTATAGAGGTTGATATAATATTCATTGAGCACAATTTCAGACAGTATAATAATTTTATGTAGTAAAAACAGTTTTATCATATTTGAATAATTTATGAAGCAGTGGTTTCTTCTTGAAAGAATATTAGTAATTATATGCGTACTTTTTTAAAAAATCAACTGATAGTATCATTGTTATTCTTAAGAAATTTTTCAATGACCCCAAGTCCAGATGTAGTTTTTATACAAAGTCACTTTGATTTTTCCATGATGCAATTTCCAAAATGAAGTAGCAGGATGCTGGATGCTCTTAGCACAAGAAGCCACACGTGAATCTTTGTCCTTGTATCCTGACCTAGGAGAAAGAAATAACTCTATGTTTTTGCTACTCTAACAAAAGAGAACTGAGGAAGGAGTTTGCTGACAATGGGGGATGATCATTGATCGTGATTTGGACCTGATACAGCAATAGTGGGAGAAATCTCCATCTGTCATCTGGATCATCTAGATTAGAGGTCTTAACCTTTTCCATGTTTCATGGACTCCTCTGGTGGTCTGGTGAAATCTATTGTTTTCTTTTCAGAATAACATTTTTAGATGCATAAAAGAAAACATGCAGGATTATAAAGAAAACCAATCATATTAAAATACAGTTATTTATTTTTAAAAAATCTCCGGACCCCCAGTTTAAGACCTCCTATTCTAGACTTTTTAAGTACAGCTCTTGAGAGTTTTTCTCAGTTATTCTAGATTCATGGGGGCATGGGTGGTAAAAGGATTCCTTAATCCAGGAAGACATGGAATCTTTTTAAAGTTGTTTTTCCTTCTTGGTTCTAAGATGATCTTCTTAAAGAGTTTTTAATTCTTAAATTATATCTTTAATTTTAAAAAACCTTAGGCAAATAAGTGGTTGCCATACTCTTAAATAAAGGCTTTTCCAAAATCTGTTAGAAAAAGCAAAAGAACTTTGCCCTTAGACCAATAAAAAACAATTTCTGGTGCTTTGTTCCCTCAAAGAATCGACTGAAGCCTTCAATTATCCTAGAAGGAGATACTCAGTCCTGGGTGCTCAGCTCTTGGGGCTGGGGTGGGGGGGGGCCGGAGCAGAGAGGGCGGAGTGAAAGCAGTGACTTGCTTGAGCTCCCCCCAAACCCCTCCAAATACTCATAAAAAAAGGCTCTAAACAAATTCTGAAGCAGCAGAAACCACAAAAAGACAGAGTGAAACAAATTTCCAGCCCAAGACAACCTGGATGATTGATCAGAAAGGTGTATCACACCAGACTGTGCTGTGCTCCCAGCCCGCAGGCTCCAGCTCCCAGTGGCTGGGAGCAAAGCGCAGCACTGCGTGGGCACACAGGCCACAGCAAACCTGGAGCAGGCCTCAGAGGACTGAATCTCGGGCAGCTGCGGAGGTTTCCAGACTCCTCAATCCACCAATGCCAAAGACAACTTAGAAGGTCAGTGGGAAAAGTCTGTTTCTGTCGGTACAGAAAAAGGAAGGCGGGGTCTCAACTCTATTCCCCAAGAGCATGGCCCTGGGGGGAGGGGGGCACAGCTGCTTCCCGAACTTCCAGCCCACAGACCGAGGGGGAATCCAGTGGCTGATCAGAGAGGGATTGCAGGGATCTCTTTGCCAGTGCTGAGGCAGGAATCTCTTGCTTTGCCCTGTTATCTGGCACAGTTCTGGGTGGCAGTGCTGGGGTGAGGAGGAGCTGGCATGGTGGAGCTTGTAGTGGCTGTGGAGAGGAAACCCCTCCTCACAGTTACAGGACAGAAAGGAGTACTTGTGTCACAGGCCAGGAAAGGAGTAAACACCTTGCCCCTTATCATACCACCTTGGAAGAACTGAAAATTTACAGGTCCCTACAAGTATCTCTGAAAACAGCTGTACAAACCCCGAAGCTTGGGACAGTACATTCTCCACATTGGAAGCAGACTCTTACCTTAACAAAGAGTTTAAAACTCAAGTAATTGGCTGGGATCATGAGCAAGCAGCAAAAAAGTCAGACTATAATCTTACTTTGGTGAAAAAGAAGATCAAAATATACAACCAGAAGAAGACAACAAAGTCAAAGCTCCTACATCCAAAGCCTCCAAGAAAAATATGAATCAGTCCCAGGCCTTGGAAGAGCTCAAAAGGGATTTTGAGAAGCAAGTAAGGGAAGTAGAGGAAAAACTGGGAAGAGAAATGAGAGTGATGCAAGAAAATCATGAAAAACAAGTCAACAGCTTGCTAAAGGAGACCCAAAAAATACTGAAGAAAATAACACCTTAAAAAATAGCCTAACCCAAATGGCAAAAGAGGTCCAAAAAGCCAATGAGGAGAAAAATGCCCTAAAAAGAAAAATTGGCCAAATGGAAAAGGAAGTCCAAAAGCTTACTGAAGAAAATACTTCCTTAAAAATTAGAATAGAGCAATTGGAAGATAGTGACTTTATGAGAAATCAAGACACTGTAAAACAAATCCAAAAGAATGAAAAATTAGAAAACAATGTGAAATATCTCATTGGAAAAAAGACTGACCTGGAAAATAGATCCGGGAGGGAAAATTTAAAAATTATTGGACTATCTGAAAGCCATGATCAAAAAAAGAGCCTAGACATCATCTTTCAAGAAATTATCAAGGAAAACTGCCCTGATATTAGAACCAGAGGGCAAAATAGAAATTGAAAGAATCCACAGATCTCCTCCTGAAAGAGATCCCCAAAGGAAAACTCCTAGGAATATTATAGCCAAATTCCAGAGTTCCCAGGTCAAGGAGAAAATATTACAAGCTGCCAGAAGGAAACAATTCAAGTACTGTGGAAACACAATCAGGATAACACAAGATTTAGCAGCTTCTACATTAAAGGACCGCAGGGCATGGAATATAATATTCCAGAGGGCAAAGGAGATAGGATTACAACCAAGAATCACCTACCCAGCAAAACTGAGTATAATCCTTCAGGGGAAAAAATGGTCATTCAGTGAAATAGAGGACTTTCAAGCATTCCTGATGAAAAGACCAGAGCTGAATAGAAAATTTGACTTTCAAATACAGGACTCAAGTGGAACATGAAGAGGTAAACAGGAAAGAGAAATCATAAGAGACTTATTAAGATTGAACTGTTTACATTCCTGCATGGAAAGATGATATTTATAACTCATGAGACCTTTGTCAGTATTAGGGTAGTTGGAGGAAAAAAATTATATGTATGATAGATAGATAGATAGTAGATAGATAGATAGATAGATAGATAGATAGATAGATAGAGGGCACAGGGTGAGTTGAAGATTAAGGGGTCATATCTGGAGAATAAAATTAAGGGATGAGAGAGGATTATACTCAGAGAAGAAGAAAGGGAGAGGTAGAATGGGGTAAATTATCTCACAAAAAAAAAACAGAAAAGAAAAGTCTCTTACAGTGGAGGGGAAATGGGGGAAGGTGAGAGGGAATGAGTGAATCTTATTCTCATAGGATTTGGCTTAAAGGGAATAACATACACATTCAATTGGGTATGGAAATCTGTCTTACCCTACAGGAAAATAGGGGAGAAGGGGACAAGAGAGCAGGGGGATGATAGAGAGGAGGGCAGATTGGGAAAGGGGTAATCAGAAGTAAATACTTCTGAGGAGGGACAGGGTCAAAAGAAAGAATAGAATAAATGGGAGGGCAGGATAGGATTAAGGGAAATAGAGTTAGTTTTTCACAACATGTCTACTATGGAAGTGTTTTGCATAACTGCACATGTACAACCTATATTGAGTTGCTTGCCTTTTCAATGAGGGTGGGTGGGGAGGGAGGAAGAGAGAAAATTTGAAACCTAAAGTTTTAAAAACATATGTTTAAAAAAATGTTTTCACATGCTACTAGGAAATAAGAAATACAGGAAATGGGGTACAGAAGTCTATCCTGCCCTACAGGAAAATAGAAGGGGAAGGGGATAAGAGAAGGGAGAGAGATAGAAGAGAGGACAGACTAGGGGAAGGGATATTCAGAATGCATGCCACCTTGGGGTGGAGGGGAGGAGGGAGATGGGGTGAAAATTTGGAACTCAAAAACTTGTGGAAGTGAATGTTGAAAACTAAAAATAAATTTATATTAAAAAAAATTTAAAAAAGAACAAAGAGCAGGGACTTCTGGTTAAGGTGATGAAGCCACAGGTCATGAAGGAGCCAAGGTTCTCCACATTCACTCCAATAAAAATGTAGAAGAGCACCAAATCAAACCATAATTGAGACCAAACAGTAAGGAAGCTTCTCTACTCAGTCCAGGACTACAGAAAAAGATGGCCAGAAGCATAGGGTGCTAGGAGACGGGTCTTGCTAGGGGAGATGGAAAGCAGCACAAGCATATGGTAAAGACTCCCAGAGCAACAGTAACATTCAGACCACAGAAGGAACAGGACCAAATAAGAGTGTGTGCCCCTCATCTAAAAGTACAGTCAGCAGCTGAGTTGGCACATTGGCACAAAGGCCCAATGCAGGAACTAAAGCTTGAAAAAAAATGAGTAAAGAGAAAATACCAAACACAATGAAGAAATACTATGAGTTAGAACAGCCCAAGAGGCATGCATAGCCAGGAGAAGAATAAAAAATACATGTAGAACTTCATGGGGAAAAATGACTTGGCCACAAGGACTACAGAAATGGCCATAAAAAAGATTAAAAAATGAAATCAGAATTTCAAAAAGGAGTCTAGAGGAAAACAGCAAAATATAAAACCAAAATTTATTCTCCAATAGTTGTAGTCAAAGGATGTGAACAAAACAGTTCTCAAAAGAATTAAGAATTAACAGCCATATGAAAGAATGCTCCAAATTACTAATAATAAGAGAATGAAAATCACTCCCCCCCAAAAAAACCCACTAAAGCCCAAGGTTTAACCTCATAACCAGAAAATTGGCAAAAAGTAACATAAGATGATGGGAATAGTCAATGTTGGTGGGGTTGTGGAAAGCTGAACATCCTAAAGCATTATTGGAGGATCTGTGAACTGGTTCAACCATTCTAGAAAGCAATTTGGAATTTTGCGAAGACAGTCACTATAAGTCTATACCTTCTGGCCCAGAGATTCCACTCCTAGATTTCACATACTCCAGGATGATCAATGACAAAAAGAAAGGACCAGAAATATTTATAGCAGATATATTATGATAGTAAAGAACTAGAAACAAAGTAGATGCCCACTGATTGGGAAATGGCTAAACAAATTATGTTCATGCATGTAATGGAATAGTACCACGCTTTAAGAAATGATGATAATGTTAAAAGCAGAGGAAAACTTACATGAACTGATACAAAATGAAGCAAGCAAAACAAAGAAAACAATATACACAATGACAACTATCTAAATATAGAGAATGACTGCAACAACAAAATTAAAAAATGAGTATTTTAAATGAAATCATAATGCCCAAACTTGTCCCTAAATTAGAGATATGAGAAGATACATCTCTTCACTTCTTTATAGAGGTTAGGCATTAGGGGTGTGGAATTAGCATATAACATCAGATTTCTTTATTTGTTTAGTTTTATTGAACTTAGTTCTCTTTTTTTTTGTTTTATCATAAGGGATGGCTTTTTGTGTAAGGGAGTGAGGGGAAAGATGTGCTGGAAAATCTAGGTGATATGAAAACAAAGGAACTCTCAAAAATATTTTATAGAGCCAGAAAAATAATAATGAAATTCATATTGAGAAACAAAAGGTCAAGAATATCAAAAGTAATCTTTTTTTTTAAAAAAAGGCAGAAAGGAAATGGGTCTACCTGTACCAGATTTCAGGCTGTATTACAAAGAAGTAATCATTTAAATGATTTGATAGTGGTAGAGAAAGACAGAAAAACAGAGAGACAAAGAGAGAGGTTGATCAGTGGAACAGATTAGTTATGAATAGTATAGAAGCAAACAAACATAGTAGCATAGTGTTTGATAAACCCAAAGACCTCACTTGTGGGGGAAAGACTACTATTTGATAAAAACTCTTAAGAAAACTTGACTGCACTCTGGCA